CGCGTGGGTGCGCGGGTGGGTGGATGTGCGCCTGGCTGGTGGGTCTGGCGTGGTTACCCGCACAAATACTCGCAGGCTGTGGAGATGGATGGATGTGATGGTGTGCGAGGCGTGTGTCTTGCGTGATGCGTTTTTGTTTTGGTTTTATTCGTTCAACATTTTTTTTTCAAGCACCTATCATGCCAGTTATGGAAGAAGGTGCTTTATTTGTACATTGCGCTCTCGTTCTTTCTTCACAACAATTCTTTGAATTACTATTTGAATCCAGATCAGGAAAGATCATCAAATGAATTACCTACCATAATAACGTTTTTGGAAGGCGTCATTGGCCGGGCAGTGCACGTAGTAGGGCTCAGATCTCTGCCCGCTGCAAGTCACGGCCTGCAGAGGAAGGACATCATCTGTAAATCACGAAACTATGGGTCCGGGGACTCCCTGGAAGCAACAGTTAAAGCAGCGGTAGTGATGATGTGGCAGCGGCCAGGTGGATAGAAATGGTGATGGTAGTACGGGATGGAGGTTGCAAAGTACAAGAAAATGAGCCCGTGCTCTCAGTGGTTGGGCCTCCCAACAGACCCTTGACCCTTACAGATCCACTTTTCTGCCCTGGTTCCTTTCTCTCCCTCCAGACAACTAATCATAATCATTTTAGAATTTAATAAAATGTTTTAATACAAATACCGTGTTAGTATAGCACCTTGCAGTTCATTTGATCAAGATTTTTTTTAAGGTTGCACAGAGTGGTGTAGGGGAAACAGTTGGAATGACAGCAACATTTTTTTTTCAAGCACCTATCATGCCAGTTATGGAAGAACGTGCCTTATTTATACAGTGCGCTCTCCTTCTTTCTTCGCAACAATTCTCTGAATTACTATTTGAATCCAGATCAGGGAAGATCATCAAATGAATTACCTACCGTAATAATGTATACATCAGGATGGCATGGGGGCACAAGGGATGACGTGGTTACTGTCTTTCACAACTGTGAGACAGGGCTTTGTAGGGATGTTATAAACGTCTTAAAAGAAGGGGAGAGGACTGTAGACCGAAGGAACTGCCTGCAACAGTTTGTTATATTTAGGAAGCATCAGGTATTTCATTAAACCATAGGATGTGAGAGAACATGTGAACATGGGTGATAACATGTGAACATGTTTTGAACATGCATTCAAAACAAATGCAGAGGTAGTTACATAGGTGATACTGAGGGTCTGTTACATACTGTGTAAGGAGTCCCAGCTTCATTCTAGGAAATGGCATGAGATTTATATTACTCTGGAAGCAGTGTAAAGGATGAATTAGAAAGGGTGCAAGATTGGGGGCAAGAAGACTTTTGCAGTATGAAGGCAAGAGAGGATCAGGATTTGAACTTGTCAAGTAGCACTGGGGAGGTAGGAGTGGAAAGATAAGAAATTTGACAGAATCTGGCAACAGATTAATTGGGGAACATTGGGGTAAAGGAGAACTGCAGCATTGGCTAATTGGTCAGATATGGTATTATTCAGAACTGGAAACAGTTTGGTGAGAATAATAATAATAAGCGCCTTTTAGATCCTGTGACTTCAAGTTTCTTTGGGGGTGGGGGTGGGAAGGTCTTTCATAGGCAGTATTTTAAGTGTCTGAGGCTTACGGGAAGATGTGAACAGATGAGAGATTTGGGAATCATGCATATAAGTAATTGTTGAAGTTGCAGAAATGGTTGAGATTGCCCAAAAGAAAATATAAATACGAGAAATAGAAGGCCAAGTATAAAGTCCTGGAGGAATGCCAATATTTAAGGGTGAGCTGAAGAGGAATTCACAGGCTGAGCAGGAACTATTCAGGGAGGTGAGAAGAACCGTAGGAGAGTATTATCAAGAAGCCAAGGAAAGAGAGTGTTTCAAAGTTATCTGCTATGCTGAAGTCAGATAACAGGACTGAAAAAGAGCCCACTGCATTAAGAATTTGGAAATCTTTGACCCTTTGATGGAGCAGTGGAAGAAGAATACTTTTGCAGATCAGAGAAGAATGAATGAGTGTGAGGGAGTAAAACTTAGATGTGAAGAGAAGGAAAAATGTGGCTGGAAAATGCAGAACTAGGTGAGGTTTTATTTTCACAGTGAAAGGACTTCTGAGTTTTAAGAAAGAAGTAAGAGAGATAAGCTTAGAAAAAAAATGTTCTGGAAAAGAATGGTCAAGGGAAGGATTCCTATTCGTGAACCAAGTCAGTGGGGTTGGGAGTGGAGGGCAAGATTTCTAGGTAGCAGGAACAGCATGTGCAAAGGCTCCATTGGAGAAAGGAAGGAAGCCTAAAATAAGTCAAGAAACTGAAAGAAATTCATCATAAATATGATTTAGAGGTCTGATTAGAGAAGAGGGGAAGGAGATAGAAAGGAGAAAAAGTCGAAGCTAGAGAGAGCTAAATTATTAAGGATCCTATTTATTTTTCTTAATTTTTTTAACAAGTGACACCAGATTTGCACGTCTACCAACATGATTGGGTGATTGATGGAGTGTTGTGAGTAGAGGTTAAGGAAATGGTAGAATCAAAGATAATTCAAAACAAATGCCTAGGTTTCTGAATGATAACATTAACTAAGAGATCACAAGAGTGGTTTTGGATGACAAAGATGGTGGCTTTCGTTTTGAATGTGTTAAGTTTGAGTGACAGTTATGGGACTTCCAAATAAAGTTATTGAGGTGGTGATTTCATTTATAGGTTGTCTGGGCTGACTTTCTGAGGCAGTAGAGAATACTTGAGATACCAGGCAAAGTAGATAAACTGATAAGAGGTGGGTCTTTGACAATAGCTGTTTCAGGGGAGCTTAGACGAAAGGGAAGTCACAGAAAGGGAATTCCCAATAAACATAATGTAGAGTCAGAACAATTATTTTAAATGCAAAGGCTTTGTTTTGCTTTTGGCAACTCTTCCTGTTTGTAATATATATGTATAGACCATAAATTCTCATGCTTTTTTCTGTTGTTTCTATTGTTTTCTTAAATACCAGTAGCAACACTATTTTAGTAAGAGTTGTGCAGAGGTTTCACAGCAGAATATTCAAGTGTTAAAAGAATAGGGCTTGTGTGTTGGGATTAAGAAATTCCACCTCAGGTAATTTTCCAGATGTGTGAAGTTCCCCAGAGTTTAACTTTAACCATTATAGAGGGTTCCTTCAAGACCCAGCTGCTAACAGAATAAAGCACCTGAAAAAAGTAGATAGATGCTGTGTAGAAATGTGGGGTTGGAAACCTGCCAGAAAATACTTCTCCTTTACTACCTGTTTTTGTTATTATTACCACCTGGCATTTCAAAATTATTAAATTTTTTTAGTATTAAAGTTGAATGTGTTTGTTTAAATTATTTATGTGTAGGGTGTGGCAAAAATAGGTTTATAGTTGTGAGTATGCAAAACAGTTTATTCTTGAATTATTAATTATTGTTTTCCATAAGAATAATGTAAACCTACTTTTGCCCCACACTATATTTAGCAGATTAGTAGCAGGTAAAACATTTATTCTTGGAGAATTGGTTGTAGGAACAGGATGTTATTTATGGGGTTTAATTCAGGGTATTCAGAGATAAGCTAGGAAAATATATGAGTCAGAGTTAGCTTCACATTTTGCCATAGGTGTCCCTGGCCACTAATAAGGATTAGATGCTATCGATGTAGGTAGAGTGCTGGACAGCATGCAACTTTCTGGCACAAGGGAATATTATAGAAGTACTTGGTGTTGATGCATTCTTATTTCCTCCCATAGGAATAAGTTCTATTTGAACATGGACTATGCATCCTTGGGTGAATCTCTGGCAGCATATTCAAGGAAATTGGATGTAATTTTTTAAAATTAATAATAAAATGAAACCATAGGGTTGATATACCAGTATATCTGTAGTTTTCTAATCAGAATAAAAACAATTTGATTGGATTATTTCAAATATTAGGATGTATAAAGTTACTGTTTTTGTTTTTTTTAAATATATTTTATTGATTTTTTACAGAGAGGAAGGGAGAGAGATAGAGAGTTAGAAACATCGATGAGAGAGAAACATCGATCAGCTGCCTCCTGCACATCTCCCACTGAGAATGTGCCCGCAACCAAGGTACATGCCCTTGACTGGAATCGAACCTAGGACCTTTCAGTCCGCAGGCCGACGCTCTATCCACTGAGCCAAACCGGTTTTGGCTAAAGTTACTGTTAAGCATTTTAGTTTAAAACAAATGAAATGTAAAATCTACAGCTTACAGGTGAGCCATGGCTTCTCTTATATAACATTTTTAAAAATTATTTGTATAGTAGCTTTGATATATTTCATGTATTATAATTGTTAAAAAAGAATAAATAATATCAAATTTTGCTTTACTCAACAGAATTATAATTGAAACAGGCATATGAAATCTATTTTCCTAATGATATTTTCATTTTATTTAGTTTTTAATTTTTATTTTTCAATTACATTCAGTATTATTTTATACTAGAGGCGACAAAATTCGTGCAAGAGTAGGCCTTCCTTCCCCCGGCTGCCAGCACTGGCTTCCCTTTGACACCTGGGACCTGGGCTTCCCTCACAGCCCCAGCTTCATCTGGAAGGACGGCTGGTCTAATTAGCATATTATGCTTTTATTATTATAGATAGATTAGCTTCAGGTGTATAGCATAGTGGTTAGACAATCATATACTTTACAAAGGAGTCCCCGATATTTTAAGAACCCACCTGGCACCATTACATAGTTATTACAATATTGACTATATTCTGTATTCTGAACTTGACATCCCCATGACTGTTCTGTAACTACCAATTGTATTCTTATTCCCTTCACCTTTTTCACCAAGCCTCCAACCTTACACTCAGTCTGGCAACCATCAGTTTGTTCTGTTTCTGTGAGTCTTTCTGTTTTGTTTGTTTGTTTATGTTGTTTAGATTGTGGTGTTTTTTTTCATTTTTTTCCATTAATAGATTTTTTCCCTCTAGTTTATTAACAACCTATAAATAACATTAAATTTGTAAGATTAGCTGGCTTTAAAGGAATTTGAGTAAACCTATAGATGATGATAATATAAAGCAAGAAAAAATGCTTTTGCAAAGAAAATATTCTTCACTTCTTCTCTGCTTAGTAATTTCACCTCTTTATAATTCAGAACATATGATATCTGTGAAGTGTGCCCTGGACCCCACTTGAATATGATTATTGGAGCTAATGGAACGGGGAAGTCCAGCATTGTGTGTGCCATTTGCCTTGGATTAGCAGGCAAACCTGCTTTCATGGGACGGGCAGATAAGGTGAGTTAACATAAGTACTTTTTTAAAAATTTCAAAGTGGTGACTTGCTTTAGTAAGAAATCCATTTCTACATTTCAGTTTCTTGGGTATAGCAAAAGTGTAGTGTTTGAATTTAAATAATGAAGTTGTCAGGTAGAGAAGCTGGGAGGATATTGCCATTTCTAGAAATATTTTAGGCTATAGATGGAGAGAATTCTCCAAGTATACAATACTTGCAATTCTTAGTGTCAAAAAAAAATTTTTTTTTTTAATGTATTACTGGGCTTGTAAAAAGGTGAAGTAAATTTACCAGGCAGAAACAAAATAGTGTGGATCTGAAAACTTAAGCAAGCTCTAGAATTGTTTCCCTGGGGGTATTTGCTTACCTTCTACCTTAAAGCCTGGCTTTGAATTAGATCCATGGGATAGGGGGCCCTGAAGGTAGTGGGAAAGGGCTAGAAGATAAAACTAGAAGCTAAGTACTATGTGTAGCACAGAAAACAACATTTCAGAATGGGACAGTGGGGTTGCTTACTCTTCTCATTTGTTAACTCTGAATATAGAAGAGAAAAAAAGAAACTCTTCCAATGAATTCTTAACCACAAGCCTTAATACATGTTTGGGGCCAGAATTCATATAATCTTTATGGCCTAAATATCATAAATTATAATTTTAGTTTAGAGTGGTCACAGTTAGTAATATCTCCAGGCATTGGCAGAAGCAAATGCAAATTCTCTTAAGGAAAATAACTTCAATTCTCAAAAGTATCCAAACATAAAGGCCTAAGAAATTCATGAATTTGTAACCAAAAGTCACAAAACATAGGAGGAAATGAATCTCCAAATATAAAAGCTAACAAAAATATCAGACTACACAATCAAACCTACAAAGCTTATAAATAGACAGCATAAACTAGGAATCTTTAGTGTAAGGAAATAAAAGAAGGCTGTAAGTAACAAAGGAGCCCCACCAGTGTGGCTCAGTGGTTGAGTGTCATCCTGTGAATCAGGAGGTCATGGTTCGATTCCTGGTCAGGGCACATGCCTGGGTTGTGAGCTCGATACCCAGTGTGTGTGTGTATGTATGGGGGCGGGGGGGTGCAGTGATGATTCTCACCATTGATGTTTCTCTCTCTCCTCCTCCCTTCCTCTAAAATCAATAAAAATATGTTGTTGTTTTTTAAAAAAAGAGTGACAAAGGAATAAATAACAAAAAGATTAGAAATTTGAAAAAGAATCAAATAGAACTTAAAAATATATTAATTGAAGAGAGAAACTTTATGGATGGGTAAAACAACAAAGCAGACACATTTAAGAAGAGAATTTATAAACTAAAGTACTTGAAATTTTTTCTTAAATGAAGAAAAAAATCGAGGTTGAGAAATGATAGGTAAAGGATGATAATCCATATTTTAATATAATATGAGAGGTAATATAGACTTAAGGAAGAGGCAATATTTGAAGAAGGAATAAGAATTTTCCAGCCGAAACCGGTTGGGCTCAGTGGATAGAGCGTCGGCCTGTGGACTGAAGGGTCCCAGGTTCGATTCCGGTCAGGGGCATGTGCCTGGGTTGCGGGCACATCCCCAGTGGGAGATGTGCAGGAGGCAGCTGATCAATGTTTCTCTCTCATCGATGTTTCTAACTCTCTATCTCTCTCCTTTCCTCTCTGTAAAAAATCAATAAAATATATTAAAAAAAAAAAAAGAATTTTCCAGAAATGTTGAAATTTTGAATTCTCAAACTCAAGAAGCAGTATAAATAAAAGAAATACAAAAATAGACACATTGTAGTGAATTAAAGAATATCAAACACAGTAGTAATATGTACTCAGACTGATGAGACAAAGAAAAAGAGTAAAGTTTCTCACTAAAGAAACTTTGAAAGTATATAATGTAGGAAGAAGGAATATGGTCCCAGTAGGAAAGTCTAAGATGTAAGAAGGAATGGTGAGCAAAGAAATGATAAACGTGAGGAAATTATATAGAAACCATCAAATAACACTAATATCTAATTTGTGAAGTTTAAATAAAATAGATAAAACTAACTTGCCCATTCTGGACAACTAGAAGGGAGTGATCAGAGTTAAAATATTCTATGGATTTGTGGTGTTGGGAAGTTAAGATAATTGATTAACTTCAGAATTTATTAAGTTAAATATGCATCTTAAAATGTCTAGGGTAAACCACTAAAACAATTGAAATTTATAAATCCTCCAAACAAGAAAGGTAAAGAAGTAGAAAGAGTGAGGGGAGAAAAAACAAAACAAAACACTGCTCAAACAACCCAGAAGTCTTAAGAATAGAGGAGAAGAAAAGAATCAGGAATATAGAAAATAAGATTATTAAAAAACATAAAATAAGATGGTATAAAAAATCATGCAGCCCTAGCTGGTTTGGTTCAGTGGATAGAGCATTGACCTGCGGACTGAAGAGTCCCCGGTTTGAGTCCAGTCAAGGGCACATGCCCAGGTTGCTTTGCAGGCTCGATCCCCAGTAGGGGGCGTGCAGGAGGCAGCTGATCAATGATTCTCTCTCATCATTGCTGTTTCTATCTCTCCCTCTCCCTTCCTCTCTGAAATCAATAAAAATATATTTTAAAAATTATATATAGTTTTTAAAATCATGCAGATATAGTTATTGTAATATAAATTGTCTAAATTCTTGTTAAATGAGGAAGTCTGTTAGTGTAGGTAAATAGAAACAGTTCAGAGCTCCAATGGCACAATTGGTTAGCGCGCGGTACTTATAAATAGAAACAGTTCAGTGCTGTTTTATTCATAATAAGCATATCTAGAATTGAAAGTAAGAGGATAAAAAATACATACCAGGCAAAAGAAAGTAGGCGTAGCTGAATTAATACCAGGCAAAATAGACTTTAAAGTAAAAAATACTTTTGGAGATAAAGTTGGTTATTTACTATTGATGAAAGGTTCAGTTCTCAACTTGAATTCACATAATCTAGCTCCAAAACACATAAGCAAAATCAGCAGAACTAATCCTTGCACGAGGATATTTCTTCCATTAATTTTTAGGGGGTGGTGGGAGGACAGAAACATCAATGTGAGAGAGACACATCCCAACCCTGGGTGGGGTATCAAACTGGCAACCCAGGTATATGCCCTTGACTAGGAATCAAACCCATTACCCTTTGGTGCTTGGGCTGATGCTCTAACCACTGAGCCAAGCCTGCCATGGCTAAATCAACAGAACTCAATGAGAAATGAACAGATTGCATAATCACAGTGGGAGGGCTATTAATAGATCAATGAGATAAAAAATAGTAAGAATATAGGCATACCTCAGAGATGCTGTAAGTTCAATTCCAAACCATCACAATAAAGCGAGTATCACACTAATTTTTTTGTCTCCCAGTGCATATATAAAAGTTACGTTTATACTATATTGTAGTGTAAGTGTGTAATAGCATTATGTCTAAAAAAACAAACAAAAAAAAACCCAGTGTATATACCTTAGTCAAAAAATACTTTATTTTTAACCATCATATGAGCGTTTAGCAAATCATAGTATTTTTGGCATAGACTTGCTCAACACAGGGTTGCCACAAAACTTCAGTTTGTAAAAAAAAAAAAAGTAAAATGCAATATCTGCAAAGTGTAATAAAATCTGTACCCCTGTAGAGATCAACAATTAAGCTTGAATCAGTGGTCAGGTTATAAATGCTATACCCAACAACTGGAAAGGGTACGTTCTTTTTTAAGCATAAATAGAACATTTCTAAAAACCATATACTGAGCCATAAAGCAAATATCAAAAATATAAAAAAATTTTTATCACACAGACCATATTCTCTGACCACAATGCTATTAAGAGAGAAATAATAAGATAATTAATTTTTTTCTATTTGTTTGGAATTAAAAAATAATACATAGGTCAAAGAAAAATCTTGATGGAAATTGAAAAATAAGAGCAAATTAATAAAAGAATGAACAATGATATAAGTACCACAAAACCAAAACCTGCTTTCAAAAAGACTAATGAAATCAGTAACTTCTGAGAAAATAAAGTGGAGGAGGTGGGTAAAGAACAAAATATAAAGGAATGAAAAAAAGTAATAGTTGGTATATAACATTGTGATCCAAACAACCCCCAAATTTAAATGCAGAAGGTTAATTCTTGCCCTTACTATTTGTAGGCCATTTGTAATCACTTAGGTACCGAGGCTAAGAAGTCAAAAAGCCACAACTTGTATCAGAGAAAATGAGCAAAAGCAATTCTACCATGGGCTTGGAGACCAGAATATTCATGAACTGCCCTAATAATTACCACTGGGGCATTATCAGAATGAAGCAGAGAGTTAAAAGATTATAAGAGAATATTGACAACATTATGCCAATAGATTTTAAATTTTTTTAAGTGAATATATAGGTTTCTACAACTAAATTATTGAAGCTGACTCTAACTAGAAAAAATGACCTGTTGCATTTTTCTCAGAACACCAGATAATTATGGATTAGTTCAACAGCAATAATTTCTTATGTAGAGAATATGACTCTAGGTACCAAAATCAGTCAAGGAAAGAATGAGAAAATTATAAGCCTGTATCACTCATGGATTTAGAGGCAAAATATCAAAGAAGAAGAGAAAAACTTTAGCCTGCTGAGTTGAATACATAAAATGCATAATACATTATGACCAAACTGAATTTATTTAAGACATGGAAGACTGATTGAACATTAGAAAAATTAATATATCATGTTTTAAAGAACTGCATGATCATCTCAATTGATGGAGAAAAAGTATTCAGTTAAATTCCACAGTAATTTATGAGTTAAAAACTCTTAGCAAATTAGGAATAGATGAGATCTTAATTTCATAAGATATCTATAGCCCTAGCCAGTTTGGCTCAGTGGATAGAGTGTCAGCCTGCAGACTGAAGGGTCCCAGGTTCGATTCTGGTCAAGGGCACATGCCTGGGTTGCGGGCTCAACCCCCAGTAGGGGGCGTGCAGGAGGCAGCCATCAATGATTCTCTCTCATCATTGATGTTTCTATCTTTCTTTCCCTCTCCCTTCCTCTCTGAAATCAATAAAAATGTATTTTAAAAAAAGATATCTATAAAAATGCACAGCAAATTCAGGAATAAGTCGAGCTTAACTACCATGGCTATTCAACTTTGTACTGGAAGTTCTGTCAAAGAATACAGGTTGGAAAGACAAAACTCAAGTCACAGGTCATATGAGTATCTGCATAAAAACCACAAAAGAAATTCTAGATAAGTTTTCTGATGAATTAATATGGATTTTTATCAGGATTGCTTGATATCTAGCAAAAATTGCATATCTGTACACTTAACAATTAACAGAAAAATGCAATTAAAAATAGATACCATTTACAATAGCCAGAAATACACAAGTTACATAGCAATAAATAAAAGACATGTACTATAAAATTTTATTTAAGAACTTTAAAATTTTGCCCTAGCTTGTTTGGCTCAGTGGATAAAGCATCAGCCTGGGGACTGAAGGGTCCCGGGTTCAATTCCAGTCAAGGACACATGCCCGGGTTGTGGGCGTGACCCCAGTAAGGAGCGTGCAGGATGCAGTTGATCAATGATTCTCTCTCATCATTGATGTTTTTATCTCTCTCTCCTTCTCTGAAATCAATAAAATATATTTTAAAAATAAAGATAAATAAAATAGAAACATTAAAGATTTCCCTGGCTGAGTAGTTCAGTTGGTTAGAGCATTGTCACAAAACACAAGGTTGCGGGTTTGATCCCCGATCAGCACATACAAGGATCAATCAATGAATATAAAAATAAGTGGAAACACAGATCAATGTTTTTCTCTCTCAAAAAAAAAGACACAATAAAAATTAAATAAATAAAAACTTTAAAAGTTTGATTAAATGGAGAGAACCACTATATTAATGGGCAGGAAGACCTAATATATTTGTTCTTCACATTGATCTGCATATCCAGTGTCATTCCACTCAAAGTCCCAACACTGTTCGTAGGAAACTAGAGGCCCGGTGCACGGGATTCGTGCACTGGTGGGGGGCATGGCCTGCAGGGATTGGTGGGAGTGCCGCTCATCCTAGTCAGCCGAGCGGCTGTGGACCCGCCCTCTGAGAGGCTGCTCCCTGGTCCAGCATCTTCCATGGAGCCGGAGCACTCGCCTCTCCAGGGGACCCGATTGGGGCCGGGCTCAAGGACAGTAGCCCTGAGAGGCAGCGGAGTAGGCCTTAGTCCCGTGGCGGCCACGAACCCGCCTCCCAGCCTCCGGGGTCAGTTCTGCGAGCCCAGCGGCAACAGCAGTGCGGTGCAGCCTGTGGGCTTCCGGAGGAGGCAGCAGGGAGCGAGGAGGCGACAGTCACAGCCTGGGTTCCTGCCCATTGGCCCTGGGTTTGCAGTGGGAGCAGCCGCTCATCCTGGTCAGCCAAGCAGTACTCCCACTGTGGTAGCACACTAACCACCAGGGGCAGCTCCTGCATTGAGCGTCTGCCCCCTGGTGGTCAGTGCACATCATAGCGACTGGTCGACTGGTCACTCTAGTCGTTCTGCCATTCAGTTGCTGGGCTTTTATTATATAGGATTACAAGCTGGTTCTAAAATTTACATGGAAGAATAAAAGGCCAAAGAATAGCTTAGATACTCCTAAAGAGAAAGAAAAAAATGGGGAAACTTGTCCTACCAGATACAAGACTTAATAGGAAGTTACAGTAATTTAAGAAATGTGCTATGTAGGACTATAAAATAGACCCCTGTGATGTGACAATGAAAATCCCAGGTATAAAAATCATGATTAGTAGACTCTTGACTTATGACAGAACTGACATTGTACATGTATGGGGATAAATAGTACCGAGACAACTGAGTACCCAGATAGGACAAAAAGAAATTGAGTCCTATCCTTACACTTTAACAAAAATCAGTTTAAGGTGATTGAAGATGTAAATATGATTGACCAGAAAGTTTTTAGAAGCTGTTAGTAATAGAGAAGAATATCTTTTAACTATGGGTTAAAAAACATTTTTGTGTGTGTGTTTGTTAATCCTCACCCTATGATATTTTTTCCATTGATTTTTAGAGAGAGTGAAAGGGAGGGAAGGGGGCAGAGAGGAAAAGAGAGAAACATCCATCGGTTGCCTTTGTAAGCCTCCCATCCCCTTGACCAGGGAATGAACCCGAACCCTGGGCATGTGCCCCGACCAGGAATCAAACCTGAGACCCTGTGGTGCACGGGACGATGCTCCAACTAACTGAGCCACACTGGCCAGTGCAAACAAGTTTTTTTTTTTTTCATCTTCCTGGGACTCAATTGTGAAGGTAATTATTTGCAAGGTGTCTTATTGTCTGATTTAAGAACCAGTTTGATTTTTTTTTTTTTAGGTCCAGGGTCTGTTTTCATGCTTATGCTCATATACATATAGAAACTAGCTCAGTCTATGTACATTGTACTTAAGTTGTATTTATTCTGTATATTGCTCTTTTTCAAAAAAATACTTGGTGACACTTATGCCCTGACTAATAGCAGGATAAGTAATATTGGAGTGGTTGTTAATGTTTAATCTGTGCAACTCCTTTGAAGTTTCCAATGGTAATGAGATTGGGTATATATTTCTTTGTGATTATTCTATAGAAACTGTTTTCCCACTGGCTTGTGCTCTTCTCTCTGAGAGTGTGGCTAAGGACACTGGTTCTGGAACCAGATTACCTGGGTTTAGATCCTTGCTCTGTACCACTTATGAGCTTTGTAAGAGGCTATCTGGCAATAAATGGTAACTAATATTATTATTGTTTTTTGTGAGTGGAAACAATGAAGGGGTTTTTCATACAGAAAAGCTATTGAATGAATGTTGATCTCCTGACCTGGGAATGTCATCATACAGCTCCCTTTTTTTTATTTTTTTTTTATTTCTTAGGTTGGCTTTTTTGTGAAGAGAGGATGTTCGAAAGGCATGGTTGAAATTGAATTGTAAGTGTTAAAAGTGCTAAAATCACTTTTTTTCCTCTAATTTTTTATTTCATGTTCATTCTCTCCTGATGACTTTAGAAAGGAATAATAACATAATATTATGACATAAATATTGGAAATATTTCAAGAATACTTAATCCAGCTAAGGTTTTTTAATGCATCTTTAAAATCTAAATTATAAGAATTTTCTTTTGGAAAAATTATTAAGGAAATTATAAGTTTATGGAGATAATGAAATAGAAATATATCATTGTTAAACATTCAATATGAAGTTGCAGTATTTTTTACAAATTTAAGATGTCTGTGTGCATGCTGATTTTGAAAGTAATGCTTGCTTGTTAAATGCAAATATAAAAGTGTATAAAGTTGAAAACGAAGGCCTTCTTGATATAACTTTACTTCTAGAAATAACCGCTGTTAATAATTTGGTGAATATCATGCATGGCAAGTACTTGGCACCTCAGTCTCCATTTTCCACATCCTTCTTCATGACAGAGATCAATAATTCATTATAGTATTCTTTTTTCTCGAGCTTAGATGTTATCAGTTTACCACACTTGACAGCCATTTCTTTTTTCTTTTTTTATTTCAGAGAGAGGAAGGGAGAGGGAGAGAGAAAAAAACATCAATGATGAGAGAATCATTGATCAGCTGCTTCCTGCACGCCCCTCAATCCAGGCATGTGCCCTGACTGAGAATCAAAACTGTGATCTCCTGGTTCAAAGGTTGATCCTCAATTACTGAGCCATGCCAGCTGGGCCAATTTTTTCCTGTCTTATTTAATTGTTTTCTATTTCATTAATTTCTACTATTATCTTTACTAATTTTTCTTTAAACCTTTGGTTTCTTTGCTCTTTTTCTGATTTCTTGAAATGGATATATATTGTACTAATTTTCAATCTTTTGTTTATCTATTGTACTAATTTTCAGTCTTTTGTTAAGGTTAAAATTTTCCTCTCAGTATTTAGTTCCATCGCCCAAATACTTTTTTAAAAAAATTTAAGTTAGGTTTATTTGGCTCACTGCAGCGAGGGAGGAAACACTCCAGAGAAACGCAGGGCGTCCCAGTACTAGGAGTTGAGAGGGGCTTCTTAGAAGATCTGGGCTTATGCTGGTGAGACTAAGAAAGGGTTTGGGAAGCGGGGGCCGTTCTTCTGGATTGCAGTCTGTTGAAAGGAGGGGATGGGCAATTGGATGATCAGGTGTCCATAATTTGATAGTTAATTATTATTAATTCATTATTGGTTAGTTTTATCCATAATGATCTAGCAGGCAGGAAGATGAAAGTAGGTCTAGAGCCAGCATTAATATGGGAGCAGCACCCCTGTGAGTTGGAAAGGGAAATGGTTAGTCTCATTTTTGGTTTCAGAGTGGCCTCCTCTCTGTCTTGTTGGAACGTGGATGGATGTGGAGGGTCCTTGTAGCACACTGTTTCTATTCCATTGTCTGTGTTCAGTTGAATACATCATAGTCTGGCTGCCAGCAAGGCTGGTTTTTGTTGTTATGTTTCATTTTTTCACAAACCAAGAAACTGGTAATGTCTTGGAGGTATCTCTGTACCTTGGTGCTGGCTGCACGGCTTTGGCTGACTGCCTTTACTTCCTGTGCCTCTTGATTTCCCACAAGTAGGGAGCATGGATTCCTTTCCGCACTAACATCCTGGGTATCAACAAGGCTCATTGAGAGGTCACTACAGTGCCCTGGACCTTCAATGGTTGCCTCATCTGGTGTCATCTATCTAAACATTAACAAGGCAGAGAAATAAGAAAGCACAGTTTCATCCATTTTAAACTTGAGACATTGCCCCCTGCCTTAACTCTCGTGTGACTCAATTTCCTTGAGCGATTCAGAGATTCCCAGATGTCACGATTCTGTTTGCAATTCTATAAGAATAATATAAATAGTAAATGATCATTAGACGACCCCTCCCCCCATTCTGTTTTATGCAGGGACACATCATCAAAGTTTGATCAAGTATTAACAATGAAAACATACATTTTGTGCTTTTTGGAAAGAAACTCTTGCATTGCTTTGAGTAGAACCAAGATGTATGAAATAATAGCTGTTATTTTTCTTTGTTTGTGTTTGTTTGCTTGTTTTAGCAGCTGTTATTTTTAAGACCTTTTAAATGTGTCAAATGCTTTGAGTATTTTTTTCACTTAATTCATGCAGCCACACTGTGAAATTAGTATCATTATCTCCATTTTATCAATGAGGAAGTTGTCACTCAGAGATTTGAAGTAACTTGCTCTAGCCCTCTCAACCAGTGAGTAGCAAAGCAAGAGTCACAACCAAGCTTGTCTAACTTAAGCCCACTACTCTCTGGCAAGCCAGAGAAATTGGGTACTTCAGCCTTCAGAGGTATCCCACTGTGGATATGGGAGCTTTGGACATACTTTGAGTCCTTCTGGGCCTGGCACTTCTAACTCATCTTATCCACGATGAGTGATGGCCACCTTAGTGGCCAGGAAAAAACCCATCCCTAGTCAAAGTCCTTGTCCCCTCACTCAGCCTCCCTCATAGCTCCTGCTTCCTGATAGTCAAGCTCAGAAACTATGTGAACACAAACTCAGGCAGCCCTACAAAAAAAATAAAGGAGTGGTCCCAGGATGTCAAGCCTGAAAATCTGGGCCAATTTGAGGTAACCAAAGGTACTTTGAAAAGGCTAAAATGTTTTTCTTCACCCAAGAATCCTCTAGGTCAGGGTTTTTTCACACACTGAGCTGGATCCTACATGGCTTCTCTGTGGCTTGGTGATATCATCAAGACAACATCTGAGAAATCTGCCTTCATGAAACCCCCCTCCTGCCTGTTCCACAGGTCTTGCAATTGTTCCATGACTAGATCCTCCTGGTGTGTTGTTCATGTCCTGGCCGCCACCACCTTCATGCCACTTAGAGGAACTCCCATCCCTGAGATTCATAAGGATAAGTGATATTGTAGCAGGAAGAGCTGGAGAAGAGACTCATGAGGGAGGGTGGAGGTCAGCTCACAGGGGACACCTCCAAATGACCAAGACATTCAGAGCATGGTATCTGGGCCATGGATTTATTCACAGTTGTACCCATACACAAGCTTTGTGCCAGGTCTTGTGGCTGGACTGCAACACATTCAAAATTCATCCAGTGAATTAGTTGGCTAGGGCTGCCATAGGACCACAGAGTGGCTCAAACAACAGAAATTTATTTTCTCACAATTATGGAGGTTAGAGTCCAAGATCAAGGTGTCAACCGGGTTGACTTCTGATGTTAGTTGTGTATTTGTCAGATATGGCCTTTATTATGTTAAGGTATGTTCCCTCTATTTCCAGTTTGCTGGGAGTTTTTGTCATAAATGTATGTTGGATTTTGTCAAATTGTATTTATTCTTCATTTTGTTTATGTGGTTTATCACATTATAATTGATTTGTGGATATTGAACCAACCTTGTATCCAGGGAATAAATTTTACTTGATCATGGTGTGTGATCTTTTTAATGTATTGCTGAATTTGGTTTGCTAATAACTTTGTTGAGGATTTTTACATCTTTGTTCATTAGGGATATTGGCCGTAATTTTCCTTTTTTTGTAGTGTCTTTGTCTGGTTTTGGTATCATGGTAATGTTGGCCTTGTAAAATGAGTTTGCAGCCTTCTCTCCGCTTCGATTTTTTGGAATAGTTTGAGAAGGATAGATAGATATTCATTCTTTGAATATTTGGTCCAATTCACCTGTGAAGCCATCTGGTTCAGAGCTTTTGTTTGTTGGGAGTTTTTTTTATTAATGATTCAATTTCATAAGTAGTTATCAGTGTGTTCAGGTTTTCTGTTTCTTCCTGATTCAGCAACGGAAGATTGTATGTTTCTAGAAATTTAATTAATTTCTTTTAGGTTGTTCACTTTGTTTATCTTTTCAAAGAACCAGTAAGCTCATCAATCTTTTGTATTGTTTTTTTTTAGACTATTTTATTTATTTCCACTCTGATCTTTATTATTTCCTTCCTTCTACTCACATTGGGCTTTGTTGTTTTTCTAGTTCCTTTAGGTATAAGATTAGATTGTTTATTTGAGATGTATTTGCTTTCTTGAGGTAGGCAGTATTGCTATAAATTTCCCTCTTAGAACTGCTTTAGCTCTGTCCTATACATATTTTCATTTTCATTTGCCTCAAGGCATCTTTTGATTTCTTCTTTGATCTCCGTGTTATCCCTATTCATTGTTTAGTAGCACATTATTTAGCCTCCACGTATTTGTGTGTTTTTTAGTTTTCTTTTTTTTAAAAATCTATCTTTATTGATTTCAGGGAGGAAGGGAGAGGGAAAGAGAGATAGAAACATCAATAATGAGAGAGAATAATTGATTAGCTGCCTCCTGCACATCCCCTAATGGGGATCAAGCCCACAACCCAGGGATATGCCCTTGACCAGAATCGAACCTGGGACCCTTCAGTCTGCAGGCTGGTGCTCTATCCACTGAGCCAAACCAGCTAGGGCTAGTTTTCTTCTTGTGATTGATTTCTAGTTTCATACTATGTGATCAGAAAAGATGCTTGATGAGATTTTACTTTTAAATTTATTGAAACTTGATTTTAGGCCTAACGTGGTCTGTCCTGAAAATTTTTCCATGTGCACTTGAATAGGATGTATATTCTGCTTTTGAGTGAAATGTTCTAAAAATATCAATTAAATCCATCTGGTCTAGTGTGTCATTGAAGGCTGCTGTTTACTTTTTGATCCAGACAGAAGTCTGGATAATCTATCCTGGGGTGTTAAAGTCCCCTACTATGATTGTATAGCTGTTGATCTCTCCTTTTATGTCTGTCAGTATTTGCTTTATATATTTCGGTGCTCCTACATTAGGAGCATGGATGTTTACTAGAGTTATATCCTTTTCTTGGATTGATCCCTTTATCATTGTGAAATGCCCTTCTTTGTCTTTTACAGGCCTTGTTTTAAAGTCTGTTTTGTCTGATGCAAGTATTGCTACCCCAGCCTATTTTTCATTTACACTTGCACAAAACATCTT